AGGAATTTGTCAGTGGACATTTCTCAGGATGGATGGCTATACGGATGGGAGATACGTTTTTTAATCGGAATTTATATCACACCACCATCATCATCATCTAGCTGCTTTTGAACATAGTTAGCTTCTCAGAAGAATGAAATAACCATCTCCTTTGAGTGGCAGAGTGGTGACAAGTCATTTAAGAATAACCAGTGAACACATAGGAGGATATTTTCAGTGTTGTGACTACTTGCTCAAAGAAAAGGAGACTTTTGTAAAGTTGATGTGTCTATGCACGTGTGTGTATGTATGTGTGAGGGATGTCTGTATATGTGTTTAGGGAAATTTAGTGACGGACAACTTATCAAATTGCCTTCCAAATTGCTCCCAAAAAGCAAATTTGGGAAAACATTATAATGCTGTTTGGTACTTCTGGAGCAGACAGCACAACTGCAAGTGCAGTTTCTGAACCTAAGATCAGGAGACCAACACAGCAGCATAAAATCTGCCCTTCAGTAATGGACAGTTCTCCCATTTTTTTTTTTTAATATATATTTATCAAGGTTTACTTGCTCTGGTACTTTCCAAAACTAAACTTGCATAATCAAGCATTAACATGATTTTTTTTTAGTGGAAAAGAGATGATGAATGTCTTTATAATAATAGTGTTTTAACAGCCTTCTTGAAAGAAAAGGCTACTTCTTTTATGACTGAGATATAAAGTTATTTAAACAAGAAAAAGGGAGAGTACAGCAGTGTAAATTCTCCACATGTAATAAAAACAAGTGTAAAATATACAGAATATAGATGTTCCCAAGAAGCCATAGGACATCCTCCCAATAGAAGATATCGATTTTTCTCTTTTTATGAAAAAAACAAGTAATTCAGCTGATATGTAAATACGTTTTAAAGCAGTTGTGTAGTAGTATGAAGTAATCTGGTTTTCTGTGTTGTATGCCTGTATATCCTGTTCATGTTAAATATTAATATGGGCAGCTGTTGTTTACTTACAAAGAAATGGAAATATAATTGAGATTCTTTGTAAGGAAAGATAGGGATTAATAAGAAATATTTAGCAGTATCTTTAGTTTCATCAAACCATTGCTAAAATGTAGTTACTGTGGAAAAAGATGAGCTGAAGAAGAAACAGATTTTTTTATCTCCAGTAAATATTACAAAGATGAATGCTAAATATTACAGAAATGGAAAGTGTCAAAATGTATTTGTGAGCCAGGGAATATTATAAAAAACTTTGAGTTCTTGTGGAGAATTTCTGTTCTTCACATAGTAGGAAGTGTATGACATGTCTCTATGTAGCAGTCAAATGCGCTTACATAAGGTTACTCATTCATTTCCCTATTTGCGTTAAAATTCTATTTAAATAGAATTAAAATTCAGACTGTGCCAAAGCTCTATTTAATGTGATACACTTGAGGACTCTGTAACACAGGGTCTGGTAAAGTATGTGATGGACCTTCTTTCTATTCTCATTGCTGCAAAGAGTGTAAAAAGTTTAACTGGCTTTGCTGGGTTTGCATCGTTATTCAAAGACCGAGTTTGTAGACTAACTGTATTTAGGCTCAGCATTCCTCAAACCTATGCTCAAAGTATATGCATTAGATTTGGAAATGAATTTATCTCCATCACAAACACTTGATCACTATTTCAAAAGAAAGACTGCCTAGTAATGCATGTTTTCATTGATGTCTTTAAGGATTTGTTCACTTAAAATTGCTGGATTAGAGTTTAGGAGGGGGAAGAGAAATTCAGAATGAAGTGAACTTTAAAAGTGCATAGAGTAGCTTTATTTAGTATAAATTACTTCTCTCCAGTTGGATAGCCTACTCATCATCTGATGAAATATATAGTGGAGATGTCCTAATAAGGAAGACCTTCTTTGGTCCACGATGGCTGTGAAATTAAGCCTTAAGATTGGCTGAAGCAGAGAGCTGAAGCCTTAGATAATGAATTTTCTATTCAGCAACCAGGTGACGTGAAGAAATCATGAGGGCAAATTTTTTCTCCTTTGTGTTAATTTGTAGGCAACTCCTGCTCAGAGGTCACAGCTATTTCAAGTAGCCTTGGGGTTGCTTTAGTTTCTGGCCTTGTATTTACTGTTTTAGTTCCAGGCATTTACCTGATTACTCACTAAAGGGCTAATCTGATAATTGAAAGGTACTGAAGTAGGATAGAACCCTATTTTGTCTCCTCTTTTTTTTCCTTTAATATGGTGCTGGATTTAGGATAGCAAGGTAAATGTGCAACACCGGTAGAGCTGCTTTGCACTTATGTGGAGTCAGACGTGTTTAAAATTCAGGCTCTAAAGCAACAGCAAATTCAGAGCAGAGGCATTTGCTGCTTAAGGATATGTCCACTGCCAAGCATGAACTGCTTCCTTCTTCAGCTGTACTCCAGTTCTCAGCTAGGGTAAAATATAGATTCCGCCCCCCCCCCCCCCCTTTTTTTTTTTTGTCTGAATGGTCCTGCCG